CAATTCCAGGCTAAGACGACCCCTGAGCTGACACATGAGCAAAAGTTAGTTCTGTTTGTTGACAGTTCCCTGCGATAGTCAAAGGAACCCAAGGGAGTTAGGTACCTAACAGCCTTTGACTGTCAAAGAGAGTGGGGCACCTAACTTTAGTGTGCTCCTTTGATAATCCCTGCTTTGATGCTTGATGGCCTATCTTACCATCCCCCCTCCCTTTGTTGAAGGAGAGAGGACCTCTTTCTGCCCCTGCAAGAGGGATGCTGTGGTGGGTGTGGAATGGGACAGGTGGAGGTGGACGGCTGTATTGTGAAATGTCAGTGCAGGCTGCGACTGTTTTTTCTGAGAGTGTGGGGAAAACATCTATCCCAGCCAATCAATAAATGCATTCAAGGGACAACCGATCTCCGTCAAGTTCATTGCAGTAAACCGATAACAGTAGAGCACAGACAATAGGTTTGGAATAGGAGACCATCTCCTGTTGTCATGCACCGTTCAGCTCACAGAGAAGATGAGCTCCTTGAGTTCCACTTCCGCAGACATCTTTTTCTGACTGCGCTGGGTACAAGTAAAAGTCTCGCGCATGGCTTTGGACGCCATTCAACTGCGCACCCTGTTTCTCTTTTACCATGGTGCACCTCCGATGTCCTTGGTCTGAGAAGACACATTTGAAATTCCAAACAGCTTATGTGTTCGGAATTTGCTGCGTTTGCAAAAACTTCCAGGTGCCTAATCTGTGTTCCATGTGAGGTGTCCATGCACGTTTTTGAAAATCCCACTAGGTGCCTAAATAATTTTTTTTAATAAAAGTTGTGAAAGGAATTACTTTGAGGTCCGTTCTCTGGTCTGTGTTGTGCAGGAGGTCAGATTTAATCACAAGATTGGTCCCTTCTGGCTTTGGATTCCCTCAAATCCAAGGGATTTGATTACTACATTAAAATTAAACAAGTGATACGACATTTATTTTTGTCTTATTATCTGCCCTGGATTGCCATTTATATCATTGACTAGCACATTTACTCAGCGTTGCTCAGGTCCTTAACTCCATTAAGGGGTTTTCTCCCTTTGATCTCTTTTCTATAAGGTTTATTGAGAAGCAACCCTATTTATCATCTCGTCGGGGCCACCAATGTAGTAGCTCAGGACAGTGATATCATAAATTCAGGATTCACTGCTGTGGCGCCCTGCGAGGTCTCCTGCTCCATCAGTGATGATAAATGTTCAGCTGTGTGAGTTTTTGTGGGCTTCTGCAGTGTATCATGCCAGCTCTGTGCAGGGAACAAGCAGAATAGACCTCACAAGAGCCCCCAAAGAGCATAGACGCGGGTAAGATATGAAGGCACCCGAGTCAGGTTTATTGTAGAACAAAGTACGTTAATAGTCGACAGTAGCCAGATGGCCTCTGAGCACCTATGCATTTGTACCGGGCAATGTACCTTGCTCAGTCAATTGTACAGATTTTATTATTGCCCCTTATGCCGGACAAAGATTTAAGTCGAGATACCCCAATGTTTATAGTCAGAGACAAACAGTCGATGACACATGCCTTATGTATCATCTTACATGTTAACGATTCGTTTGGTACCTCCCCTTGGACTTTCCTTCAAAGCATCCCTATTCACTACCTATTGTTAGACTTTCATGCCTGGCCTATGTCTACACTGAAGGCTTCTTGTGCAAGAGTTCTTGAGCAACAGGTCTTGCACAAGAGCATGTTCACACTGCCATGTGCTTTTGCGCAAGAGCGTCCATGGCGGTGTGGATGCTCTCTTGCACAAGAAAGCTCTGATGGCCAGGTTAGCCATAAGGGTTTCTTGCACAAGAAACCCCTGTTGCCCGTCCACACTGCCTTCTTGCACAAGAGCTCTTACATGTTAATGACTCATTTGGTACCTCCCCTTGGATTTTCCTTCAAAGCATCCCTATTCACTACCCCTTGTTAGACTTTCATGCCTGGTCTATGTCTACATGTAGGCTTCTTGTGCAAGAAGTGTTTTGCGCAAGAGTTCTTGTGAAAGAGGGCTTATTCCTCATGGGGAGAGGAATAACTCTCGTGCAAGAAGCCCTCTGTTCTGACGCCTTGGGGTATGTCTAGACTACAGGGTTTTGTCGACAGAAGTTTTGTCGACAGATAACTGTCGACAAAGCTTCTGTCGACAAAGAGCATCTAGACTACATCCAGTTCTGTCGACAAAGCAAGCCGCTTTGTCAACATAACAGTGTGGACGCAAAGGACAGTGTAGATGCAATAATGCCTTCTATCGACAGAACTCTGTCAACAAAAGGCGTTATTCCTCGTAGAATGAGGTTTACATACGTCGACAAAACTGCTGAGTTTTGTTGACATTATGTCGACATATCTCAAAGGCAGTGTGGACGCAGGTATAGTTTTGTCGACAAAAGTCCACTTTTGTCGACAAAACCCTGTAGTCTAGACACACCCTAAATGTCCATTATCGTTGTACTGAACACCATGGTCATGCTTGCACAAGAAGTCTGCAGCATAGAGGTAGCCCTGTTGTTTTCAGACACGCGATCACTATTCAAACTGTTTTATCATATGCTAAATTGGGGTGTCCTTGTACTGTCCTGGTAGAATGCGTTTACGAATTTCATGTGCTTTAAGCTGTGCTAGCTGTTCTAGTGCCGAGTTCATGTCCCAGACACTGGCTTGCAGGCAAACATCTGCTTATAACAATGCCTGCCTGTTACTCGTGGTGTAACTCCTGCTGACTTCGGTTCCGGTCTCTGCTCTTACACCAGGACCATGCATCAGGCTCTTCCTTTCTCCGACATTAGGCCCATCTGGTTTTTCTGGCTCCTCTTGGTTCAATCTCTTTCAACATTCACCGAGTTATGTCAATTTTGAGGGCTGTATTTACACTGGTGATTCTGTTTTCTGTTTGGTTTTAGGAGCAGCGATCCCATTCCAGACACATCCCATTTTCCTGTCGCCACCAAACCCCGTGTTTAAATGGTGACATTTTCCAAAGAGTTTGTATTAAGGAAAGAATGAAAGTGATTCAAACATCTGAGAGAGCTGGTTGGTGGACAGTATTGGCCATTTTTCTGTCTCTGGTTAGAATTTAAAAAAATGATGATTCTGCATATTTCGGAGCAGGGGTGGGGTGCAGAAGTGAGGGTAGAGGTGGCAGAAGGTAGGGGGGTTGCTGGAGTCAACCAGCTGGGGTGGAGGTGTGGAGAAGCTGCGGGATCATGGCAGGGAGTGGGGATGCAGGAGTCAGGGAAGGGGGTTGGGATGTGTGGGGAGCTTAGGTCAGGGGTTGGGGGTGCAGGATTCAGGGCAGGGGTGGGAGTCTCAGGGCAGGAGGTTGGGTGTGGGGGGATCAGGGCAGGGAGTGGAGATGCAGGGAAGGGGTGGAGGGCTCAGGGTACAGGGCGGGGAGTACAGGAGTCAGGGAATGATTCTGGATGTAGGAGGGTACAGGGCAGGGGTTTGGGTGTGTGAGGGAGCCCAGGGCAGGGGGTGGGTGCATGTGGTGGGGGAGTAGGTTGGGAGGGGGGACTCAGGAGAGAAGGTGGATGGCTTAGGGAAGAGGGTTAGGGGTGAGAAAGGGCTCAGGGCAGTGGGTGGGGGTGAAAGAGTGGGGTGAGTGTTCAGGGGTGAGGAGAGACTCAGGGCATGGGGTAGGTGACCTAGGGCAGGGGGCCAGGAGATGTGGGGGGCTTAGGGCAGGAGGTAGGGGGCTCAGGGAAGACAGCAGAGGCACAGCAACCAAGGCAGGTGGGAGGTGCAGGAATCATGGCAGGCTGCCCCCCAATCTGCAGCTGCTCCGGGGCCAGGGTTCATAGGCTAGCTTCAGCCGCCTGCCCTGAGCCCTCTGGGGGATTAGGGGAGAGGTTCTGCAAGGTGGACCTGGCTTCCAGTTACACCCCACTGGCCCTGCCTCTGTTCCATGAGTGGCAATGCTCCGCTGGCCGGCTCTGGCCTTGATCTGCCCCACAACCGGCCTTCAGCCTGTTCGCAGGGGAGGGGTAGGCTCTGCTGGGTAGCCCCAGTATCCAGCACCCCCTCTGGAGCCAGTCCATGGTTCCTGACCCTGGCCTCTCTTGGGCTATGTCAACACTGCAGCGCTATTCCTGAAATAGCTATTCCGCGTCATTTGAGCAATCCTGTTATTTCAAAATATCATGGGCTCACTATTCCACTGTCCCTATAAAACCTCATTCCACGAGGAGTAAGAGATGTTTCAGAAGAGCGATTTATTTCAAACTATGTGCTGTGTAGATGGCGCCAGATTTCAAAATAAGCTATTTCGAAATGGACTCGAAATAAGCTGTGCGATTTGCACAGCTCAAATTACGTGGTTTATTTTGAGCTACGGGTTCAGCATAGATGCACCCTCGCAGACAGACAGATGGATGCACAGACAGAGAGAGGTGGTAATATCCGTAGATTTGCAGTGAAGGAAGAGGAAACCAATTGTCATTTATCACTAATACCTTGATGGGATCTGAGCAACTTTATGAAATGCATAGCCTGCTCTTTGGGGTCTTGTCATCTACCTTCCCAGCACAGTTGTCAGTTCATCAACACCTCTCTTTTCTAGGGACAGTTGTTTTGCATTGGAGACCTGCTGAAAAATTTTTAACATCCACTGGGGACCAGTTTATTGTCTGATCTGGGATAACATTCGTTCTTGCCAGAGCCATTCTCATTTGCTTTTCCTACCACGATGATGGATTACTCATGGTAATTCAGGATGAGAATGAATGGTCATTGATCCACAAAGCAAGTCCAAGGATGACTTTGTCATATGGTAGTTTAGAGGTACTCATTGGTCGCAGGAAGTTCTACCACTTGAATAAATGAGATATGAAGCCCCTGGACTCATATCCTTTGTAACCTCATGGTTGGTGTGTGTACCTTCCTCCAAAGACCTTTTCTTGCCCCTATGCTCAAGTGCACAATAAAAGATCACCCTGTTCTTGTTAATTCTATGGGTCGTGTCTCAGAAACAATGTCAGTCAACCTTTATGTTACACTAAAATTTGTCCTTTCCAATCCTAAACCTGTCTCTGACAGCAAGCAGCTTATGAGTTGCTTTTGTCAGGGAGTTGTTGACCTCCTTGTTTCTCAGGCAGTAGATGACTGGGTTGATCATAGGATTCAGGACTGTGTAGAAGATTGAGAGAATTTTGTGTAGGACCTTGGACGTGCTGGCTGTTGGAACTACGTAGGTCGTAATTGTGATCCCGTAATAAAGTGTCACCACAATGAGGTGGGAGGAGCAGGTGGAAAAGGCCTTTTGCCTCCCGGTGGCAGATGGGATCCTCAGAATAGCGGCGATGATACAAACGTAGGACCCCAGGGTCAGTAGACAGGGCAGAACTGTACCTAAGGCAGCAAGAATAAACAGCAGCAACTGAACAGTCTGGGTGTCGCTACAGGACAGCTTTAGCAGGGGTGCCACATCACAAAAAAAATGGTCAATTTCTTTGAAATCACAGAAAGTTAATTGGTACAAGACTGTGATTCCTATGGTGCAGGATGGCATGTTGCTTATCCAGGACCCTGTCACCAGCTGGCAACAGACCCGGCCATTCATCAAAGCAGCGTAGCGGAGGGGTTGGCAGATCGCTAGATACCGATCGTACGACATGGCCGTGAGCAGCAGATTTTCTGTAGCTGATATCAAGCCAAAGAAATACAATTGCATCAGGCAGCCCTTCAAAGAGATGGTTCTGTTCCCAGTCTGGAGACTGGCCAGCAGCCTGGGCAGGATGGTGGAGCTATAGAGGGTCTCCACAATAGACAAGTTCCCCAGGAAGAAGTACATGGGGGTGTGCAGGTGCCGATCAGCCACCACGAGCCCAACAATGAGGAGGTTTCCAGCCACAGTCACCATGTAGAAGAGTAGAAACAGCAGGAAGAGGAGGGGCTGCAGTTCAGGGCCATCCCCAAACCCCAAGAGGATGAATTCCATGATGGGAGTTTGGTTTCTTCCTTCCACCTTCTCCATAATCTCTATGTAGAAAAAGAAAACCATGGAATGCTGATAAAATAAATGCAGTTAGGTTGTGGTGTTGGTGACACCATCTGAGACTTGCAGCAGGTCGGTTTCTACTCCTGCATCTTGTCAGACAGTGTCAAATTTCAAAATAAGCTCCTTTGATTTAGAGGCAGAATAAGCTACGCAATTTGCATAGCCCAAATTGTGTAGCTTATTCCAACAGAAGGGTGCTGTCTAGATGGACTCTTGGGGTATGTCTAGACTGTATCCCTCTGTTGGCAGAGGGATGCAGATGAGGCAGGTCGACATTGCAAATGAAGCGGGGATTTAAATATCCCGTGTTTAATTTGCATAAAATGGCTGCCATTTTTGCCGACTCAGCACTTTGTCGGCAAAAAGCGGCAGTCTAGAGGGGGAACTGTCAAGAAAGATCCTGTAAACCCCCTGCAGGAGGCCTAAGGAATCTGTCAAAAAAGGCTTTCTTTCTCGACAAATTCTCCTCTAGACTGCCTCTTTTTGCCAGCAAAGTGCTGAATCGGCAAAAATGGTGGCCATTTTTATGCAAATTAGCGCGGGATATTTAAATCCCCACTTAATTTGAAATGTCTACCTGCCTAATCTGCCGACAGAGGGATGCAGTCTCGACATACCTCTGGGTACACAATTGGCTACGTCTAGACTGGCATGATTTTCCGCAAATGTTTTTAATGGAAACATTTTTCCATTAAAAGCATTTGTGGAAAGGAGCGTCTAGATTGGCACGGATGCTTTTCCGCAAATGCACTTTTTGCGGAAAAGCATCCGTGCCAATATAGACGCGGGTTTGCGCAAGAAAGCCCCGATCGCCCTTTTCGCCATCAGGGCTTTTTTTGCGCAAAACGGTTCTCAGTTGTCAACGGTTCTCAGTTTTCCGTTAAAAGCATTTGCGGAAAATCATGCCAGTCTAGACACAGCCATTGATTTTAGATAGAACGACACTAATTTGAAGAACACTGACACTCCTCCATGAGATCGTCAGTGTTCTTGCGGAAATTCAAGTGGTCCGTGTAGACAGCTGGCAAGTTTTTCCGCAAAAGCAGCTGCTTTTGCGGAAAAACTTGCCAGTCTAGATACAGCCAATTATGTGTTGCATCAGTTTCATGTGGATTTACACGAGTGGAACTGAGCAGGGGCTCCAATCCCATAGAAAGAAATGTAAACAAAATTCAAATGAAAACCCGTCCAGAGAGAAATGAGAGAATCATTTTAATCCACAAGGAGAACTTGCCAGGAGAAAAATGAGAAAAAGATGGAGAAGAAAATGAGAGTGATAGAGACAGAACGAGATCAAAATTCAGTGAGAGAGGGAGAAGAAGAGAAATTTGGTATTTTCCAAATATCCCGAGCAATAAACTACAAATAAGCATCTCTCTGTGAAAGTAAATGTCTCCCAGCCAATAACTATGAAATCTCTTCTTTGCTTTTTTCCTACACACATCAGGGCAAATCCTACCATCTGATGCTTTCCTTCACTGTCTTACGATGCGCTCATGAGGAGTGGTGGTGGTACAGTGACCTTAGGGCAGCTTTGAAGTAGGGCAGAAAAATGGAAGTCAAGTGGTTCCCACACACATAGACAGAAGAGACACAACTTTCCAAAGGGTTTGCAAGTGTGGGGGAAATCTCGCTCCCCTGGGGTACAGAGCCCCCAGAAAGGTCCAAGGCTGGAGGTCAAAGCAGTGAGGCAGGAGAGAAACCTAGAAGGAAAACTTTATTATGCATGCATGCAGGCTGACCACTACCAGAGTTAGCAGCCAGTCCAGAGAGACAGTTTCAGGGATTCTTTATACAGTATGTTCAGACAGTAGTTGTTGATTGTTTTTTTTTAACATATCAAAGTCTCAGCAGAAGTACTCTGAGACGTTTCTGTTCACACCAGGGCTGTGTCTAGACTGCAGGCTTCTTTCGAAAGAGCCTCTTTCAAAAGATCGCGTCTAGACAGCAGGCGGATCTTTCGATAGAGGAAATCCGCTTTTTCGAAAGAGAGCACCCAGCGAGTCTGGATGCTCTCTTTCGAAGACGGCCTCTTTACATTGTAGAATGCCTTCCTTCGAAAGAGGAACTTTCGAAAGAAGGCGTTCTTCCTCGTGAAACGAGGTTTACCGCCATCGAAAGAAAAGCCGCGTTCTTTCGAAATAATTTCGAAAGAACGCGGCTTGAGTCTGGACGCAGGGGAAGTTCTTTCGAAAAAAGGCTACTTTTTTCGAAAGAACCCCTGAGTGTGGACACGGCCCAGGAGTGCTAGAAGTAAGTTTTACAGAACAAAGGCACATGAGAGAGTTTACATGACAAATTGTGACAGACTAGGAGTCTTCATGAACTTGAGATAGGAGGCATTGTAAGGGTCTTGATTAGAGTTAATTTGATTTCTCTGTTACAGGGAGAGAGGCCTGGAAAACTTTTAACCCTTACAGCAGTTTTCTTTTAGAGAGTTTTGATTTCCTGCACAGTCCCCCCTTTAGACACAATTGGAGTTTATTTGATTTTTCTCCCACACAAGCAATAAAACTCATGTGGTGAAAAATAAAAAAAACAAAGAGTCCAATGAACTAACTATATTCATGGAGGGGTTACGGTGGGGGAGGTCTAGTATGAATATTAGGAAAAACAATTTCCCTAGGATGGTGGGGAAGCACTTGGATGGCTCCCCTAGGGAGGGAGTAGAATCTCCAGCCCTAGAAGTCTCAGCTTGACCAAGCCCTGGTTGGGATGATTGAGTTGGGCTGGGGATTGATTGAGTCCTGCTTTGGACTGGGAGCTTGACTCGATGACTCTGCCAGCCTGGGATTCTATGAATTCTATGATTCTATGAGTGGTCAATCAATGGCAGGATGGGCAGGGATCTGTTTGCCAGTAGTTGGAAACGCGTCCCATGAAATGGGTAATTTGGTAATTACCCGTTTGGTTAATGCTTTCTGAAGCACCTGGCATTGACCATTGTTGGAAGAATGGATTTTCGAGAGTCTGGAAGTTCGATGAGAGCTATTATGGCTGTGCTTAATGTCCTAAATCGTAGAGTTATTCATTGCTCTTACCTAAGTAGCTTGTGATATAACCAATACTTTTTTATTCATTCCCTTCCTCCCCCAAACAATTCAGTGCTCTTTGAGAGCATGTCCACACGGCAAGGCAAAAGTCAAATTAAGCTGTGCGACTTCAGCTACGTCAATTGCGTAGCTGAAGTCAAAAGATCTTAATTTGGCGTTTGGTGCTGTCTACATAGCAGGAAATCAAAGGAAGAACTCGCTTCTTCCAACTCCCCTTACTCTGAGAAATGAGCATTACTGAGTTAGAAAAATAATAGAAAAATTATTTTGAGATAATTTCGATTATTCGAGCAGACCTACGGTGCTAATCCATCGGAGGATCAGAGATTTCTGCTGAGATCATGTCAGGGTACGTCTACACAGCAGCATGATTTCGGAATAACATAGTGCACGTCTACACAACAAGCTGTTATTTTGAAATAATTTTGAGCTGGAGGACTTAGGTTATTCCTACATAACGCTGCTGTGTAGATGTACCCTGACATGGAGGATGCTTGAATAGGAATTTTTCGTTTGTAAATCAGATGATTTCGTTGCTTTAATGTGTTGCTTTAACTTTCACACTGGTGATTAATGGATCAGCTGCATCCCATCTCAAACCTTTTCTTTAGATTTTCGGAGATAGGACTATACGATTGGTCATCTTCAATTGCCTCAGTAAACTGAGCTTTGGGGCTAAATGCTGAAGCACTTCTAGGTGCATTTTGTTCGTTTCCCATTCATATTAATTAATATCTCTCCTGGATGATCGTTTCTCCTTCTACTCAGATTACTAACATTTCCATGATATTTCTGCTGGTGGGAATTTGAAATTATTGCAGAAAAGAAAGTGAATTCATTTTTTTTGAAAGGGAAAACAACAGGATAAGGGCTGTCTCCCACACCTCATATGGGAAGTCATGGGAAACAACTGATTTAAAAGCAAAAATAATGGAGACTGGAGACGTGTCAACCGAAAAGACAAAGGAAAAGCAATCGAAGGAAGTTCTCATTCCAAAGGAAAACAAAGGAGACGGAACGTCTGATCTCAGCAGAAATCTCTGATCCTCCGACGGATTAGCGCCGTAGGTCTGCTCAAATAAGAGAAAAATAGAAGCAGTGTCCGTTCTGCTTTATAGTGAGAAGAAAATTAAATGATCCCAAGTCACAATGTGCTTTGCAAAAGCTCCCAGGTCGATCTAATCTCTGGCCCTGGAACTACAAACACAGGCCAGGAAGACCCCTAAGCTGCCACGGGAGCTAAGTTTCCATCTCCCTGGCTGTCAGATTGAAAGGAACCCATGAGAACTTGGTTTCCAACTAGATTTGAGTGTCCAAGGGATTTGGGCCCCTCACCTTTGTAGTCTCCTTTGTCCCGCATTGACGCCTGGGGGCCCAACCAATACCCTGGTTTCTGGTCTTTGCTGAAGGAGTTAATGGCCCCTGGCCAGGCAGCGTGGGCATCTTCTTGCTTGCTGTGTGGGGTAGGAGGGCATGGATGTCAGGCTGTGTTCCTCTCCTGCTTCCCTGGCCCATCTAGCCATGTCGGTAGTGTGGGGTGGGGGGGAACAGGGCTTGGGAGCAGGAGAGATGAATCATATGGTCTGAGCCTTCTGCTTTGTGTGCATTAAAGAGACACACAGTGCCTTGTCAATTTCCCCAGCAGCCGGCATGCCCCCTCTGTCTCTGTTCTACACACACATACACACACACACACTGCATCTGACGAAGTGGGTCTTTGCCCACGAAAGCTTATGCTCCTACACTTCAGTTAGTGTTTGTGTAAAACTGACGAGGAGTCCTGGGGCACCTTATAGACTGTCTCTGGCTATGTCTAGACTGCCAGCCTCTTTTGAAAGAGGCTTTTTCGAAAGATACTTTCAAAAAAGCCTCTTTAGAAAAAGAGCGTCTAGACTACAAGCAGATTTTTCAAAAAAGCGAGCTGCTGTTTCGAAAGAAAGTCTAGACGCTCTCTTTTGAAAAAGCAGTTTGCATTCAATAGCGCCTTTTTTAGAAAGAGTACTTTCGAAAAAAGGCATTATTCCTTGTAAAATGAGGTTTACAGCGATCGAAAAAACTGCCGCGTTCTTTTGATTTTCTGTAATCTAGACACACCCTCTGTTACACACAAATATTCCCCCTGTCTCTGTTACACACACACACACTCACCCACACACTCTGTTTCTGTTACACACACACACACAATCTCTGTTACATACACACATACATATGGTGTGTTTGTGACATACACACATATGACATACACTCCTTCTGAGACTGACTCAGAGAGACACTGTCTCTTTCACACTCACCTCCCAGCACACACTTGTGTTGTTGTTACTTTCTACAATACACATTGATTCTCTTTACTGCTATTGTTCGTTTAAAATCTTCGTGTAGTGCATTCCACAATGCCTAACCTGTCATCATGCCGATCAATTAAAATTATCTATCTATCTATCTATCTATCTATCTATCTATCTATCTATCTATCTATCTATCTATCTATCTATCTATCTATCTATCTATCTATCTATCTATCTATCTATCTATCTATCTATCTATCTATCTATCTATCTATCTATCTATCTATCTATCTATCTATCTATCTATCTATCTATCTATCTATCTATCTATCTATCTATCTATCTATCTATCTATCTATCTATCTATCTATCTATCTATCTATCTATCTATCTATCTATCTATCTATCTATCTATCTATCTATCTATCTATCTATCTATCTATCTATCTATCTATCTATCTATCTATCTATCTATCTATCTATCTATCTATCTATCTATCTATCTATCTATCTATCTATCTATCTATCTATCTATCTATCTATCTATCTATCTATCTATCTATCTATCTATCTATCTATCTATCTATCTATCTATCTATCTATCTATCTATCTATCTATCTATCTATCTATCTATCTATCTATCTATCTATCTATCTATCTATCTATCTATCTATCTATCTATCTATCTATCTATCTATCTATCTATCTATCTATCTATCTATCTATCTATCTATCTATCTATCTATCTATCTATCTATCTATCTATCTATCTATCTATCTATCTATCTATCTATCTATCTGTTTTTGGTTTTGGTTGTTTGTGCTGGGGACACAGATCTGCACATTACCACAATAACAATTTGTGGATGGAAAAAATATTAAGGGAACGTTGGTGTGATTGCGGATGCTGGGAATGTGGGAGGGGAAAGGCGGAGAGGGAGTTCTGTGCAAAAAATGGGACCGTAGCCTGTGGCTGTTTCTTCTGAAATTGGCTAGGGATGCTAACTCATATCAGACCTGGAAAAAATAGCAGTCGCCTTTGCCATGTGGGGCCAGACGCAAACCCCCATTGATTATAAAATCAAAGCCTGAGAGTTCTACCTGTGGCTACACAGGAGTTTGAATCTGGCTCAAGATTTTGGAGCATGGGAGCCACAGAGAGATACACAGTTCTTAGACCCTCTTTTCTCTCTACTTACAGGAAGACACTTGACATAGTGGGACTTGGGGATGGGAAGCTGACTTGTAGGGGTGAAATTGATCTGATAGCATGGGCAATCCCATCCAACTGATACCATGCTCGCTTTCACTCTATTGCAGCCAATATCAGGTTGCTTAGTGTTGACGGATTCTCTAGTCAATCCCGTCAACAGTTTGGTTCGTTATAAATGACAGTCAAGAGACAAAATAACTAACGTCAGTCCCGTTCATTGGTGTGAACCAATCGGAAAGAGGGAATGGGTAGCAAGAGGTGGATGGTTTGATGATTAGCTGGTTCCAGTTAATCCCTCTGAAACGTCGGGCGTTGGCCACTGTTGGAAGACAGGAAACTGGGATAGATGGACAATTGGTTTGAATGAGGAAGCCATTTCAGGCTTGTTCTTACGCATGTCTTGCTATAACCCATCCATGATGGGTTCTCCCGGGGGTGCTACCTGTAATTGGGATTCTACTGAGCTGGGTTCTCTCTCTCTCGCACTCTGTTTCTGTTTCAAACTGCAGACTTGCACCCACTTCACACAGGGAAGGACACACCTAACCGGGGCTACACACACCCATTCTCTGATCAGCCCCTGCATGAACCAACAAAGGAGAAATGACAGTCAAGAGAATTACCTGCTCCCCAGCATAAGTCCGCAGAACTCTAGCACCCTGCCCTGTCCAAAACACTGAGAATTAGGGTTTTGTTACATGTTTCGCCTCTCCCTCAATGTGGAGAGGACCGTGCATACTTGTTTTAACCAACCCCAGATTTTTCCCCCCAGATATTACACTTCAATGTACATTGCCACAGGGTGAACTGCAAACAAGTTTATTAAATATACCAGATAGATTTTAAGTGCCTATAAGGGGTAGGAAACAGATCAGAGCAGATTATCAGCAAAAGCTGCATTTGCTTTGCTGTTTGGGTTTCTCGGTTTCTGCACACGGGGGAGAAATCGTTTTACCTGAATCCAGCACTTCCCCTAGTACCCTCTCTGTTCCTCAAGTGTTTGTGGGCGTCCTCTGGTTTGGGGAGTGAAGAAGAACGGATGAGATCACTCCCTGCCTTATATAGCTTTAGCGTGGGGCGGGAACTTTCTGTCTCAAACCTTGTTATCCAGGCCAGTGTGTGGAAAAATGCAGACATCCCCAGATGGAGTCCAGAGAGACAGGGCCTGATCACCTGCCCTTGGAGAGTCAAGGCGACCATTAATTACAGTCAACATACACCCTTCTAGAGCGGAATTAATGATGTTCTGCAAAACAGAGCTTTTCAAATGAAACATACAATGACACATATCACACAAAAAGCATCATTCAATGTCAAAGGGAATAGGGCACCTAACCTTAATATGTGCCTTTGATAATCCCTGCTTTGACACTTGATGGCCTATCTTACCGCACCCCCTTCAGGCCTTTGTTGAAGGAGAGAGGACCTCTTTCTGCCACCGCGAGAGGGACGCTGGGGTGGGTGTGGAATGGGACAGGTAGAAGTGGATGGCTGTATTGTACAATGTCAATGCAAGCTGCGACTGTTTATTCTGAGAGGGTATGTCTGCACTTGCCCCCTAGATCAGATTAGGGAGGCAAATGAAGCATACCGAAGTTGCTAATGAAGTGTAGGATTGAAATTTCCCATGCTTGATTAGCATATTCATGGCCAGTCGCCATTTTAAAATGACGGTTGCCCAGTTTAACTTGCAGTAGTCTGATCCAAAACCCTTCCTTCGAATTAACTGTTACTCCTCGTGCCTCTGGGGTTACTCCTTCAGCCTCTTTCGAAAGAAAAGCAGAAAAAGATATGGAAGTATCTTTTTCTGACTTTTCTTCGTAGTCTAGACGTAGCCTCAGTGAGCTTTTATTCCTTAACTATTGTTAAATATTGTTATTTCTACAGCACATTTCTGTTTGGAGTGACTGAAGCCGGGTGACAAAAATGTAGGCTGAGATTTGCAAAGACACCTAGTGCTTTTGCGTGTTCATTTCCTGTTCATTGTCATTCATTTGTTTCTTTTATTTGAGTGGGTGAGGGACATGAAGTCTTCTGAGCTTTGAAAATGTTGACTGTACATTTTGTGTTTCAGTTTTACAGACTGATATCGATATCAGCATCGACAAAGACAGAAATATTTTAACGTTGCCTTTACTCTACAGAAATATTGGAACAGGCAAGAAGTCTCATATGGCAGGACACTGAGACTCTCAAGCACCCAAAGATTTTCAATTTTTTCATCTAGCTACCAATCTGCTCACCCAGTCACAGTTCTCCACTCACAATGGTGTCAACATTTCTCCTGTATTTCAAAGGTGTCTTGGGGAAAAAGGACCCTCATCAGTGCAGAATAAGTACCAAGGGATTCCGTGGTGAATAGACTCAGAATCACTCACAAGATTTTTCAACTCCTTGCCAAATTTGGCCAGGAGCATTCATATACAGATGACAGATGCAGAGTAGTTTAATGAAACATATGTCTGTGGGGAAAAAAGACCACTTTTCATGAAGAATGTTTCTCATCGTATCAAGCTTTTATAAAGAATTCTGTATTAAATATATGAAATGAATGCTGCAAAAATGACAGAGTGAAAGAAAGAAAGAAAGAAAGAAAGAAAGAAAGAAAGAAAGAAAGAAAGAAAGAAAGGGTACGTCTAGACTACAGAAGTATCCCGGAAAAGCTCTCTCACGTCTAAGGAACGCATCTGCATTTCTGAAAAAAAAATTGGAAAAGCAGAGATATTTTGTCGGCATCCTTGTAAACCACGTTTTACAAGAAAGAAGGGATGTTCCAAGAGAGCATTTTTTCCCAACTTTTGGCCCCATGTAGATGGGCCAAATGTCGGAAAAGTCTCTTTTGGAAGAAAAATGGAAAAAGATATGCAAATTGCAAAGTGTAATTTGCGTATCTTTTTCCGACTTTTCTTTGTAGTATAGACACAGTGAATGAAAGGAAGGAAGGAAGAACACTAAGGGGTAATTTTCCTCATAGATTCAAATGGATCTAAGAAACTACACGTGTTGTTCTGTGTTTCACTATGTGGTGAAATGTGGCTTTTCAGATTCTAGGCGTGTTTCTGACAGCAACCTGTTTATGAAGAGTTTTTCTCAAGGACTCTTTGACATCCTTGTTTCTCAGGCAGTAGATGAAAGGGTTGATCATCTGAGTCAGGACTGTGCAGAAGACTGAGATTATTTTTTTGGGTACCTCAGCAGGGTTGACGATTGGAACCAAATACACAACGATCACAATCACATAGTAAAGCATCACCACGATGAGGTGGGAGGAGCAGGTGGAAAAGGCCTTTTGCCTCCCGGTGGTGGACGGGATTCCTAGGATGGAGCTGATGATACAAACATAGGATGCCAGAGTGAGGAGAAAGGGCACCAGTGTCCATAGGGCAGCAACAATAAATGCCAGCAGTTGCAGAATCTGGGTGTCATCACAAGACAGCTTGAGCATGGGGGTGAAATCACAGAAGAAATGGTCAATTTCATTGGAATTGCAGAATGTTAATTTCCACAAGAAAATATTAACAACGGCAGAGCCCAGAAAGCTACTTATCCAGCACCCGGCCACTATCTGGCAACATACCCGGCCATTCATCAGAGCCGTGTAGCGGAGGGGATGGCAGATGGCTAGGTACCGATCGTATGACATCGCTGTGAGGAGCAGATTTTCTGCTGATGACATGACGGAAAAGACATATAACTGGATGATGCAGCCCTTGACAGGAACGGCTCTGTCCCCGGTGAGAAGACTGGTCAAAAACCTGGGCAGGATGGTGGAGGTGAAGCCGGTCTCTAAGCAGGCCAGGTTTCCCAGGAAGAAGTACATGGGGCTGTGAAGGTGCCGATCAGTTACCACTAGCAGCACGATGAGGAGGTTCCCGGCTAAAGTCACAAGATAGATCATTAGAAACACAAAGAAGAGGAGGGGCTGCAGTTCAGAGTCATTCCCAAACCCTAAAAGGACGAATTCCACGATGGGCGTTTGATTTCGTCCTTCTCCTTTCTCCATACCACGTATCTAGAAAAAGAGAATATTGATGGAACAATCAGTCAGGTTGTGTTCTGAGCTGCACTTTCAGAAATTTGGGGTACGCGACCTCCTGCCATGGCACCTCTCAACTAGAAAAAGTGGTCAATAAACAGAGGAAGACTCATATAATTGGGGGTGTTCAGTTTCCACTACATGAGAACCAGGAGCGTGGAACCCCATTGAATCACAAAAAAGTCCCATCTGACTCCCTTAAGCTCTCTTGAGATTTAAATGAAAGCTTTTGGGGATGTGGAAAGAGCTCTCTCTTATGAGTGGCGTAGCAACTGATGTAGAAGCCTGCAGCTGGAAAGTCAAATTCCCTGCTTGGGTGGGCCAGCATGAACTAACTTTGATCATAAAAAACAACAAATAGTCTGGTAGTTTGTTGTTTTTTAAGTTTATCCTGTACAGACTAACTTGGCTACCCCCTGTAACTTTGATGACGTTATCGGGATAAAACTAGGAGTGAGAACAGGGCAGCACAGATAGCTGCTTGGAATAGCCACCTGTGTGGCTAGGATCTCAGAGGGGATTGGGGCTGGACAGTTAGTCTGTGTGGCGGAGGCTACACTGCTATTTTGAGCACAACAGCTCATCGAATCCTACAACACTAGAACTAGAAGGGGCCTCGAGAGGTCATTGAGTCTCCTCCTCTGCCCTCATGGCAGGACCAAGCACTGTGTAGATCATAGAATCCTAGGGCTGGAAGAAATCTCAGGAGGTCATCAAGTCCAGCCCCTGCCCAAAGGAGGATCAATCTTAACAGGTGTGTCTGTCCAACCTGCTCTTAAATATCTCCAGTGATGGGGATTCCACAACCTCCCTGGGCAACTTATTCCAGTTTTTAACCACCCGGACAGGTAGGAAGTTTTTCCTAATGTCCAACCTCAACCTCCCTTGCTGCAGTTTAAGCCCATTGCTTCTTGTCCTGTCCTCAGAGGCCAAGGAGAACAATTCCAGCCCCCCGTGTGACACCCTTTTAGATACTTGAAAAGTGCTATCATGTCCCCTCTCAGTCTCTTCCTTTCCAAACTAAACAAGCCCAGTTCTTTCAGTCTTCCATCATAGCTCAAGTTGTCTAGATCTTTCATCATTCTTGTTGCTCTTCTCTGGACCTTCTCCAATGAAAGTCAATGAAAATTGTGATTGTGGCTCTCCCAGAGCAGGGAATCATAGTTTTCAGATGCAGTACAGACATTCCCCATAAGAAACAAACCGAAACATCCAAGAGGCTTGGTTTGCACCATGATCTACCCAGCTGCCCTCTATCACAACAGATGCAATGAAAAGTGCGCACCATTTGATAGATGATGCTGAGAAACAGATTTGCACCCACACACATGCCCCTGTAAACACACACCCAGCTTCTCACATGCTGGTAAATGTCATCAGCTTCATGTGGAATTACATACGTGCAACTGAGATCTGACGCCAAGCCCATATAGAGAAGTGTAAGTGAAATAAAAATGAAACATCATCAAGAAAGAAATGAGAGTCATTTTTATCCAGAAGGAGAATATGCCTGGAATAGTTATTCTGGAATAGCTTATTTTGAAATTGTACGTCTACACTGCAGGGAAGCCTCAAAATGAGTCCGAAACCATTTCCCATAATATAGACTGAGCTCTTAATCGAGATAGCATAAGAGGAATAACTTAGGGTATGTCTAGACTACACCTCTGTCGACAGAGAGATGTAGACTAGGCACGTTGAAATTGCTAATGAAGCAGGGATTTAAATATCCGGCACTTCATTAGCATAAACATGGCCACTGCTTTTTTTCGACACGGAGCTTTTTCGAATAAACAGCAGTCTAGACGTGGATCCGTCAACTATAAAGCCTTTTTCGACAGATCCTGTAAACCTCATTTTTTGAGGAATATAGGTTCTGTCAAAAAAAAAGCTTTAGTGTCAACAGATCCACGTCTAGAATGCCATTTTTTTTGGAAAAAGCTCCGTGTCAAAAAAAAGTGGCGGCCATGTTTATGCTAATGAGGTGTGGGATATTTAAATCCTTGCTTCATTAGCAATTTCGACATGCTTGATTTGCATCCCTGTTGACAGAGGGATGCAGTCTAGACGTAGCCTTAGAATGGCCCTGATGAGGGGCTATTTTGAAAGAGCAACAGTGGCGTCTACACCCGCCTTATTTCAAAATAGCTATTTCAGAATTGGCATTATTCTTCGTAGAATGAGGTTTACAGAAGTCAGAATTTGCCATCTGTTATTTCAAAGTTGTTTCAAAATAACGGAATTGCTGTGTACATGTTCACATAGTTATTTCGGAATAACAGCCGTTATTCTGAAACAACTTTGCTATGTAGGCACACCCTTAGGGTATGTCTACACTACAACGTTAATTCGAACTAACTTAGTTCGAATTAGTTAATTCGAACTAAGCTAATTCGAACTAATGGATCTAGCCTAAAAAACCAGTTTTAATTAATGTGGACATGCTAGTTCGAATTAGCAAAACGCTAAGTGGACCCTGAACCGGGCTTAAGGATGGCCGGAAGCAGTGCCGGCAGGGCATCAGAGGAGGACTTAGAGCGTGGAGCTGCTGTCTCAGGCTAGCCAAGGGCTGTGCTTAATGGGTCCCAACCCCCACTCCGGACAGACAGTTCTCAGGGGTGCCCTGCTTGCAAAGCAGTCCTGGCTTGGAGTGCCTGGAGTGCCCACACTGGGCACATCACACCACTCGGCCATCAGCCCGGCTGCACTTGCCGCAGGCTGCCATCTGGGGAGAGGGGGCAATCGGGGGGCTGCAGGAGAGCTTCCACCCCCAAAAGCCCGCAGAGCCAGCCCAGTCCTCCCCATCGGGGGCTTGTACCCCATTCCTCCCTCACCTCCTTCCACTTACCCTTCCCTAGCCCCTTTTCTTGATGTACAAAATAAAGGACAATTGTGTTCAAAAATGGAATCTGTCTTTATTGAACAAAACTGGGGGAGAGTGGGAAAAGGAGGTGGGTGAGGTGGAAGAGAGAGACTGGGAGAGGGGAGGGCAACTAACATGATCAGGGGTTGGGAACAGGTCCCATATGAAGAGAGGCTAAAGAGACTGGGACTTTTCAGTTTAGAAAAGAGGAGACTGAGCGGGGATAGGATAGAGGTCTCTAAAAGCATGAGTGGGGTGGAGAGGGTACATCAAGAAAAGTTCTTCATTAGTTCCCATAATAGAAGGACTAGAGGACACCAAAGGAAAGGAATGGGTAGCAGACTTCAAACTAGTAACAGAAAGTTGTTCTTCACAAAGCAAAGAGTCAACCTGTGGAACTCCTTGCTGCAGGAGGCTGTGAAGGCTACAACTAGAACAGAGTTTAAAGGGAAGTGAGATCAAGTCATGGAGGTTGGGTCCATGGAGTAGTCTTAGCCAGGGGGTAGGAGTGGTGTCCCTACCCAAGGTTTGTGGAAGGCTGGAGAGGGATGGCACAAGACAAATGGCTTGGTCACTGTCTTCGGTCCATCCCCTCCAGAGTCCCTAGGGTTGGCTGCTGTCGGCAGACAGGCTACTGGGCTAGATGGACCTTTGGTCTGACCCAGTACGGCCATTGTAAGCTCAGGGCTCAGGGTCGGGGGTCTCAGTGGACCACCTTGATTTTCATGAAAACCTGCTCCTGGGTGGCCAGGCTGGCAGCTCTCCTGCCCTAGACGGCCACTTTCCTGTGCCTAGTGCGGAGGTCGTGGACGAGGTCCACGATGTCCGCACTAGACCAGGCGGGTGCCC